TGGGATCCAAGTCTAGCCAACAAGGTGGGGTTCAAGGACAGACTGCAGGTCTAGTGGAGACCTGGGAAGCAGGCTATTTGAACTTGTAGCTGAGTGTGACTGGGAGAGTGGGATAGATACCACAGAACCATGGGCAGTTTCTGTTATTTATGCATATCTTTGCTCTTGGTTCCTTTTTTACTCTCTCAGAGAGCTCACGTTTTCTTTTGCCTTCACCATTACCTATCTGGGCAACTATATTTTTGGTCCTGACCATATTTCATATTGTTCAGAGACCATCATAATTTAGATGTTTCCTTTCACTCAAACAGAAGATCCAGAACCAGTTTGAGGAGTGAGCAATCTTCTCCTTTCAAATCGCTGGAATTACACCTGCTCCTTCCATGTGGAGAAGCAGTGTCACCAGCCCAGTGCTTTTCTTTTTCTTTTTTTTAAAAAAAGATTTTGTTTATTTATTTGAGAGAGAGAAAGATCGAGAGACAGAGTGCAAGCATGAGCAGGGGGAGGGGGAGGGGGAAGAGACAGAGGGAGAAGCAGTCTCCCCACTAAGCAGGGAGCCCAATGTGGGGCTTGATCCCAGGACTCTGGAATCATGACCTGAGCTAAGGGCAGACGCTTAACCAACTGAGCCACCCAGGTGCCCAAGCCCAGTGCTTGTCTAAGCCTTCTGTTGCTTTGTTTCCCAGTCAGGCTGCCTTTTGCCTGTACAGTCCCTCTTGTGGAGCTTCAGAATTGGCCTCCCTCCTCCCTTCTTAGATGTTGCTCTGCAGTACTAGAACCAGCAACCATCACGGGTCCCTGCAAAATGGAGGTGTCACCTCAGTGTCCTCCAACTTCCAATTTTTTGAAACATCACACGTGCCTTTTAATTTTTCTAACAGGGAAATTTTTTTTCCCTGGGTGGGAGAAATTGCAGAGTTTCAAAAAGTAAAATCCCTGGTGTTTTTTGGAGTTTAATTAGAGTTAGACCTGCTCTTGTTTAGGTATATTTGTCTCTGCAACCATTTTTTTAAAAAGATTTATTTGAGAGAGAGAGAGAGAGAGAGAGAGAGATGCAAGTGGGGGGGAGGAGGGGCAGAGGGAGAAGGAGAGAATCTCAAGCAGACTCCACACTGAGCTCGGGGCTCCACATGTGGCTTGATCTCGATCTCATGGCTCTGAGATCATGACCCCGAGATCACAACCCTGAGATCAGGACCTGACCGAAATCAAGAGTCAGATGCTCAACTGACTGAACCACCCGGATGCCCCTCTCTCTGCAAACTTTGTATTCTAGGTAAACACTGCCTCCAATAAATACGTGTTTTTTCTTCAGAAGTAGACACCCCCCACCCCCGCTCGTTCCCCACTCTATGGAAAGATAACAGAAAAGAATTAAATTAGTACTACAATCTACAGCTGAAGGTTTTTTCTCTGTATACATTTTGGTTCTAGAAGGAAATCTGGCAAAGTTTACCAAGACAGTTTGACCTACCAATTCCACATCAAGGAGTTTATTCCAAGGAGAGAACAACGGATGCTCTTAAAGATTTATGTCTAGGATACTTGTAATTATTAAAAATGGAAATAATTTACATCTAAAAACAGAGTAATGGTAAAATAAATGAGTATAGCCATGCAATATAACGCATCCATTAAAAATCCCATTTTGCAAAGTATTTCATGACATGGAAAATGCCCATGATATGATGTTAAGGAATTAAACAAAAAACAAAAAGCAACTATTGAACTGCTTTATTATGATCCAAAATTCATCCTTAAAGGTGTAACTGTATGTGGCATAAATAATGCAGACAGAAAAAACCAGTATAAGCTAGCATTCCAAAATTTTAACTGGTTAACTGTCAGTAGTGGGATTGTAGATACTTTTTACATTTTCTTTATAATTTTATGTATTTTCAAAATGTTCTTCGGGAAGATGTATTATTTTATTCATTCATTCACTTATTTAATAAATGTGTAGTGACCATTAGGTGCCAGACACTCTGCTTTGTGCTGAGGAGATAAAGTAAACAAGACAGAGCAGATGTGTTCTTTGCTTTGCTCAGAGTTTACAATCCCTTATAATTGGGAGAAAAAGGTTTTTTTCTTAATTCATTTCATCTGACCCAGTAATTCTACTTTTGGGAATCTAGCCTAAGGAAATAATCAAGAAAGCAAAACAAAATTATCATATAGAAATGTTTATTAGTGCATTAACCATAAGGCAAAAAAAATTTAGAAACCACCTAAACGCCCAATGGTAGGGGGATGGTTAAAGTAATAATAGCACATTCATATAATGGAATAATAGGAAGCTATTAAGATTAAGTTACTGAAGACTTCTTAATAACATGGGAAAGGGTTATTAATGATTTCCATTACTATCAACGGGGAAAAAATAAGCTGCAAAATTATATAGAATCTGACCTCAATTATGTAGTATAATAGTCACAGAAGAGAAATTCAAATGTTAACAGGTGTTATTTTTACATGGTGAAGTAATGGTTGATTTGTACTTTTGTGTCCATGTTCTTCATATTTCCCAAGTTTTTGCAATGAACAGGTTTAATTTTATAATCAGGAAAACGATGTTGCTTTTGTTTTTAAAGACTTGACTTAGACATTATCTGTTAAAAATTCAAGGAAACGTACAAAAAGATAATTTACCATTTCCTTAAAGTCTGCACTGTCTTGGTGAAGAAAGGAGAGATAATTCATATGGAGAGAGCTGACAGCCCCTTTCCTTTCTAAAACATTCTTGGGAGAGAATGGATGACCACAAATGCAGTGGAGCTACCTCCAGCACAGGGCCTGTGGGGGATTAATTCACTGTGCTCATGAGGCTGAGCAAGGAAAAATAGAAGGAGCACTTGGAGACAGAGCCCTGGAGCCTAATCCCAACCTCTACCTTGAATTCTAACCTTGAGCATGATGTTGATAATCTGTACATTAGGGACCTAGGGACATTTCTCACTGCTGTCATTTCCCTCACTGAGCAGGTGTCATGCAGGGTCAGGGTCCTGTCTCTGGTTTGCCTAGAGAGAAAGAACAATGGAGCCTGAGATGCCAGGGTCAAGGCAGCCAAAATCTGGCTCCCTACCCAATCTAGTGTGAAGACTTTGACCCTGACTCCTGCCCCTTGCCTTCTAAGTTCAAAGAGAAAGAGCATGGCTGTGGAACATGTCAATTCTGTGTAAGCCAAAGCAAAGAGAGCCAGCTGCTGGTGCTCCACCAGCTACTGAATGCTCAGGCGCACACTGACTGAGAGGTCTCCTTTGAGCCCACACAAGGCCCAAGTGCATTTAAAATAGCAACTTTCCCTCTAATTTAAAGTTCATCAAGGCTGAAATCACAGCAGGTTTCACTGCACCTGTATTCAGTCATTTATCATGCTCTGGGTTTTCTAAATGTAAGGGTCTGCTGTGCAGTTAAAAGAGCAAGTCAGTGCAGAAAGATTTATAGGCATACTTCACTTTCAACAAACTTAATATCTGAAAATTAAAGTACCATAAAAGATAAATTTACAAAAGAATTCATTTCAGTAGCACTTCGAGTAATTGGTTTACCTTCCATCTTTAAAACATAAATTGATTCACCACAACCTGTTTTACACACAACGTATCAAGCACATAGAGGTACATAAAGGGAGATGTACATGGAATTTAAAAATTTGGACACCACCCCAAAGCTGGAAACATTTCTCTGATTGGCTATAGAGGCTGAAAAAGACCTTAAATCAATTGCAAATGATAAACAATCTTTATGCTAAATTGGCTATGGAAGCTGAAAAAGACCTTAAATCAACTGCAAATGATAAACAATCTTTATGCTAAAAGAGTTTAGTAGTTGGGAAGTTTTTTTGGGGGGGGATTTTTCTTCTAGGTCCTTTTTTGGGTTTCTCATAATTCATTGATTTCATCAAGGCCATGGAAAGAACCCATTTTAAAATCATAGTGGAAGGTGTTTTCAACATACCTCCACATCTCAGGTACGCATTTAATAACTGTGCACACATAGATATACACATTAGAGACCTATAACACCCACAAAAATGTCAATACAGATAAAGCTGTGCTCTAATAATCAATTTTCCATCCTGCCACCTGAGGAGCCATTCATCCCAAAATGCTAGCCCCAGTATTTGAAAATGCCAACATTTTCATTTTCAATCAGCTTCTGAAATCCTAGTTAGTTGCAGGAAAGAAAGAGCTTTCAATTGCCTTTGCCAAGCACGTTTCTCTGTGGATACAGACAGGTTAAAAACATTGACCTTACATGACAGAAATTTAGAAAAGCTCCTGGGTAAGCTCCCTGGGTCCCTATCTGTGGAGTTCCTGAAGAACAGCCTAGCTGCCTCTCATTCCTGAATGAGAGCTCCCAGCAGCATAGACAGAGCCAAACTAGAATCCTGAGTATTTTATGATTCTAACGAAATGCTCTTCACATACAAGTAATATTGGAGAGTTGAGGTGGGAGCAGAAGATCTCCGAATGTCCAAGAAAAAGTGAAAAATGAGAAATTTTGCTTAGACATACTTAAAACTGGAAGGCACCAAGAGACTGCCCAGCATAATAGTAGGCTTGCAGGGATTCACAAAGCCCCAGCCAAAGGCCAGCCCCTTGGCCAAGTTCTGGTATCCCCTTCAGGCCTTCAGGGTAAAGGAGAGGATGAATATATGGAAAGAAGCAAAGCAGGAGTGGAAAGGAAAGTGTCAAGGAGATGAGTGCAGGAGGGGTGCAAAAAATAGGCTTAAACGAAGGATAGAGGAGGCGTGTGAAGAAAGGGAGACTGGCAATGAGTGAAAAGGAGGAGAAAAAGGAAAAGGAAATAGAAAAGGAAATGGTGAAATAAGATAAAGTTCCCCATTAACAACTGACTTAGTTGGCTGTCAGGAAAAACCCCAGGGTACAGGTGACCAATCTCCACCTTGAACCAAGCGCAGTGCAACCTGGAAGCTCCCAGCAATGCCATGGTCCTCTATGGACACTTCCTCCCTTCTCCACAAAGGGCAAGCTCACCTATCGAAGGCCACAGCAGTCATGGAGTAGATGCTGGCGAAGACAGCGGCGATGGGGAAGAAGTTGTGGAACTTGCAGTAGAACAGGCCGTAGTACCACTCATTGTGGACAGCGTAGGTGAAGTTCACCACCGTGTTGAATGCAGCCATGGATGCCTCTGCGAAAGCCAGGTTCACCAGGAAATAGTTAGTCACTGTCCTCATTCTCTTGTGGGCCAGGATGATCCACATCACCACCACGTTGCCCACGACCGAGGTCACCACGATGACCGTATAGGCAGCTGCCCAAAGGACAATTTGCCAGGCCGGCTGCACAAACTGGTTGGGCTCTGAGGTGTTGGTGGAGATATTGGGGAAGAGGTCTGAGTCTACCTGGAGGACGTTATCCATCCCCCCCGCCAAGTGGTTAAGCCCTCCTCCCTGCACACACCCTGCCTTTGCAGCAGGCCCTGAGGCTGACGGCTGGGGTCAGGGTCCTGTTTAACCAAGACAGGAGGGCTGCAGGCTCTTTCGGCAGAACTCTTTTTTTGCAAGCAGGAGAGTTGGCGCTCAGAAGATAAACGCTTCTAGATGCGCTGTCTGCTTCTCGTGGCTCTGAATTCCTCCACTTTCAAGCATCAGGAAGCATTTGGGTTCAGAAATCCGGAGACAGCGTCTCTACTGCGTGGGACTGGAAAAAGGAAAGAAATTCCACGGGTAACGGTTCCGGGAAGCAGGAGACCTTTCTGCACCTGCTGCTGCTTGCAACTCCTGTTCCCGCTGCTTGCAGCGGCAAATGCAAAGCCCTGTTCTGCAGGAGGACTTAGGGGCGAAGGGGAGAGTGTTCGTCACAGCACGACCTGTAAAAGTTCTGAGTCTATGGCGGGGATTCTGGGGCCCCTTGTCCGTCTGGAGATTTTTCCTTTGCTTTTGCTGCGCTGCCGCCGCCGCCTGCAGCTTCGCAGGCGCCTCTTTGGCTTGGGTCCTGCTCGGCTCGGGAGTTAGCAGAACCTCGGTAGGCTGCGCGCGAGGCTTTTATAACCCTCTGCAGAGACGTCACCGAGAAGGGGCAGTACCTGGGTTGCGTACTCGCCAGTCCTCGTGCGCAGCGCCGCAGCTGAACCAGCTGTTGGCAACTGTCTCATTCCACCAACGCAGCCACCCCGCCTTTTGGGCTACTTGCTGCGGGAGTCCTCAAGCCGGGCGCCCCACGCACTCCGCGAGGGGGCGCTAGGTAGCCTCGGAGTAATTGCGCCGGACGGAGTCTGCAGCTGGAAGCACAGAAAGGAAGGATTTGAGAAAGAGCTGTAGAGATGGACACAACAACTTCCAGGGAGAGCAGCCCGGAGCGCTGCGACAGCTCTGCAAAGGCACCTGCCTGTGGCTGTGGGAGTCGGGCAAGTGTGGGGGCGACGTGCCAGCGCTGCGCTCCGGGCCTCTCCCCAGCCCGAGTGTACCACGGGCTCGCTCTGGCTACTACCGAGAATGCCCAGTTCTAGGTCTCCGGAAAACAACTTTCCTGAGATCGTGTTTAGGAAATATCCCCAAATACCTAGTTCCCTTCTCTGGGTGGACCGATTCCCCTGGGGAAGCAAGGATAGACTAAGCTTTGGGGACACCTTCCCCAGACTCGCCGGTGACTTGGCCCCTAGGTCCCTGAAAAGCTCCAGCTGAGCTCTACAGTTGAGCCCCCTGCATAGGCAGCCGGGACTGGGCTGGGCTCCCTACGAAGCTTGGTGAGCGCAGGAGCCACCTATAAGCCGTGTGTCGCTCAGACGCGCCTCTCTGGGCTCTCTGCCAGCACCCACTGCGGCCTCGCGTTAACCCCCCGGGGACCTAGCAGCTTCTGCCTCTGCGCCTCCGGGGCCTGAGGGCCAGAGTCCGGCCGGGTGGCGTCGGGGGCTCCTTCCCTTACTCCCTCGCAGTTTTGCATAGGGACTGGAAGGCAGTTTTGTCCCCCTTCTCTCCCCACTCCCACCCTTCTCTCCCCACTCCCAACCCCCGGTGGACTTCGAAGCCTCATCTGCCAGTCGAAGGCCATTTCAAACCGCGGAGCTGGCGTTGGTTTCCCACCAACCTGAAGTTGGTGGGAAAGGCTCGCCCGTGGATGCGAACCGTTTTGGAAAAGCCGAGATGGGCTGAGGTTCGGAGGGCTTTCCAGCCCAGAGTGCCCAGGAGATACGGTTCCCCGGGGGAACTGAACCTTCGGAGTTTTTCTGGGGGCCATCTATTCCTCTGTCCCCTCTCTTTTCACTGCGGGGACTCAAAACTGTGCGACGTGGGTGGGGATGGGTAGCATGGCCCAGCGCAGAGGCTCGGGTTGGCGCAAGCCCGCATTCTCCCGGGAGCTGCGTTTACGCACTAGTCCTGCCTGCTTGCGCGCTTCTTCGGGGAGCAAGAAACGTATCTGGCAGGAAGCGCTTAAAGGCTTGGAAATTTATTGTACGGATTTAGGCTAAAATCGGATCCTCTCGGGGGGGGGGCGAGGGTGGGGGGTGGAGGTGGAGGAATCTGCTAGTTCACTTTGGTTTTGTTGAAGCCTGGAATTTCAGCATTTATATGAACCTCACCTTGCACTTTCTGGTACTCCAGGCACCCCTAAACCCGAAGAGAAAACTCCAGAGATGCCTAGGGGAGCACAGCACGCCCTTATTTAGACAGGTTGCAAAGGAGGAACCTTCTCGTGGGAGGGAACTCTTCCACTCTGGATCTCTCATCACTGCTTCCAGTAATGGGTATTAGAGGTCTTCTTAGCTTTGTCATTCTAAAATATGTAAAATATTATAACATTGCTTATACATAGTGTTTATTTTCCTACCAGAAAATCTGAATTTCTAAGATTTTTTTGGCTATGTGGATTTTCCCTTCTATAATTTGTCTATTCACATGCCTAGTCCCTTTTTCTGTTGGATTGCTTTCCAGGCACTTTTTTCTCAGAGCTCTTTGTATATTATAGATATAAACACTTTGCCTGTCATGAATATTTCAAGTATTTTTCTAGTGCTATTATTTATCTCTTGAATTTATGTATTTGTCATAAAAAACTTAAACAATTTCTATGTTGTCTGTATTTACTTTAATGACACTTGGGTTTTCAAGTCTTGGTTTAAAAAGTTTTACAAAATCCTGGCTTTTTTCCATATAAATATCCTGGGTTTTCTTGCCAGTTCTTGCTTTTCTTTTCTCTTTTCTTTTCTTTCCTTTTCTTTCTTTCTCTTTCTTTCCGATGAGGTCTTTAATTCACCTGCAGTTTGTTATTTCATATTATGTGAAGTATTTTTTTTCATATAATTAGCTAGTTTTGACAGCTCCATTTTCCTAGTGAATTAAACCATTATCCTTGTCATAGATTAAATTTACATATACATGTGATTTAATAGTTATATTCTCGTCTTTCCTACTGATCCGTTTATCTATTCCTACAGCAATACCATGTATATATGTATATATACATATTTGATTAATATGATCTACTTTGCCTAGCCCCCTTGCAGTTAGGCAGAGCCTTGTGATTAATTTAGCCAATAGGTTGTGAGTAGAAATGATGTACGTCATTGCTAGGCTGAACCACAGAAGAGAAAGAGAGAGAGAATGTGTGTGTGTCAGAGAGAGAGAGAGAGAGAGAGAGAGACTTCTCCATGTATTCTCTCCTGCCAAGTCCCAAATGATGCAGCTACAAGAAGACAGGTCTTAATTACCTTGAATTCCCAAGTAACTGTATAACCCAGGCTGCTGCCCAATCATTTTGGACATGTAGTATGAGCTAGGAAATAAATTTTTGTTATATTAAAACACTAGGGTTTGGGATTAATTTGTTATTCACCCTGATATAGCTTAAAACTATTCTGATATCTGGTAAGGCAAGTTCATCTGGATGCTCATTTCATGCTTTTTAAAATCTATTTTTGGACATCACATTTGAATTTTAATATTTTAAATTCAATTTAAAATTAAACAAAACAAACTGCATTAGTATTCTAATTGGAGCTGTGGAATTTATTGAATTTTGACAAAATTGTATTTTTGATATTTTTTTTTAATCCAAGAACATGGTATGCCTTTCCATTTATTCAAGTCTTATTTATGCCTTTCAAGAAGATTTTATAATTTTGGTTAAAATAGATCCAGTCTTTTGTTTACATTTATTTCCATATATTTTGTAGGTTTTGTTTCAATTTTAGATGAAATACTTTTTCTTTTTTTATTCTAGATCCAAGAAAACCCATTGTTTTCTGTGTATATGTATTTATGTGTATGTGTCTGTGAGTGTGTTTGTGTGTATGTATCCTGGTCATTTTACTAAATTTCGTATTTATTCTTGTGCTTTTTATTTGAGTTTCCTTAAGTTTTCAATCACATCATTAGCATATTCTTGTCTCATTGAATTTCCTTTACCTTCTAGGACAATGTTAAATTAAAATTGGTGATAGCAGGTATTTCTGTATAGTTTCTGAATTTAAATTAAAATGACTTTGAATTTTTACCATTTAGAATAATACTTGTTGTTAAATTTGCTAAACAGTCTCTTATGTTTAAATAGTTTCCTTCTACTTTATTTTACCTAAAAGTTTTAAAAGGAATGTCTTGTAATTTATTTTTAAATGCCTTTTTCAGGATCTGTTGATATGATTGTGTAATTTTTTTTCACTAATTTGTTGACATAATGGATTAAATGAATAGATTTCCCAACACTGGGCCCAACTTAGCATTCCTGGCACAATTTCTGCTTGGTCAGAGGCTATATTATTTCTTTGATACATTGTTGGATTCAACTTGCTAATGATTTATTTAACATTTTTACATCTATTTTTCTAAGTGAGATTGATGTAGAGATTTTTTCCCTTTTCTTTTTCAGATATTAGTGTTATGCACCAAAAAATGAATTGGGAAGCATCTCATCTCTAACTATGGCAAGAAATAGTAGTCTTGGTCCCTGAACTACCCAGTACTAGTCGGAAATGTAAGTCCTTGGGCCAGCACAGAACTACTAAATTAGAATGTGCATTTTAGTAAGATCTTAGGTTATTTGTATGCATATTAAAGTCTGAGGAGTTTAAAATAGGTCCAGTGTTTTCCAAATTTCTTAATGATAAGAATCTCTTGAGTTGCTTGTTAATGAACATTACCCTGTTCCCCTGAAAACTCTGATTTGGTGGATCTGGATTGGGGCTCAGCAGTCTGTGTTTTTACCAAATACCCTGGGTCAGTCTTCTCTTCAAGCAAGTTTTGGAAATATGTGGACCTTTTACTTTAAATAGCACAAAACTAGATGAGTTCTTTCTTCATCTCAAGGAAATTTCCAGCTAGTATTTTTTGAAATTATTACCTCTTCTCCATTAGTCCTTTTTTCTCCTTTTAAGACTCTCATTGTTATCATGCTAGGTCTCCTAGATCCATCCTCTGGATGTTTTAGAAACAATTCCTACCCCCCTCCCTTCTCAGATCTGAGTAGTATCCAGGCTCTTCTCTTTTGGTCCTTTCTCCAGGTTCCCACGCTAATCTCCCAGCAGAGCCCAGCCTGCCCAGTTCTATTCTTCTCTTAGCTCAACCCCCAACAGGCCCAGGGCTCATTTATATCCAGCTGCCCTTGAGGCCTGAAGCCATGTGGATAATGGGAGAGAACATTGGAGTTGGCTGGGAAAGGGAGGGCAGCTGTGTTCAGGTCCCCATAAACTCTGGTCTCCCGAAGCCACTGGTGTGGAAGCATCCCCTTCCCCCTCCAGTGTGGATGAGTTACTATTATTAGATGCTGGCTTCCTGCCATCCTTTCAGAAGACAAACTGGTATATATTATATCTCTTCGAAATTAGATTGTTAGTTCTCTGAAGGCAGAAACCATGTTATTCAACTATTCATTTGTTAGCAGTCCCTTCCCTACAGGGCATGATCAATACATATGTATTGGGTTGGATTGAACTGCCTGACAATGGTTGAATTTAGAAAGGTGGTGTGAGGCAGGGA